TTTTTTTCACCAAAATTCAAAATTCAAATAAATCCCTCCAAATTAATTTTAGTTTGAAATTTAACTCAGTTGATTAAACTATAGGACCATTAACCCATAATTTTCGTGGTTGAATATTTTAATTATTTTGTTGAAAGGCTTAAATTTCATTCTAAACTTTTTCCTCTCTAATTTTTTTCATGCAAGAGACTATATTAGTAACCAAAAATTCATATTTTCTCTCCTAACAAAAGATTTAACTTAAATTCTCACTTCTTATTTTTATTTAGCCAAAATTCTCATGCTCTCTTATTCCCTCACTTGAAATTCTTGAATGACTTCTTCTCATTTGCCCTTACACTTGCATAATATTTGCTTGAGAAGGAAATTTTGAAAGTTCTAGTTGTTCATCTCCTTCATACTTAAGTTCTTCAAAACTTCATCATCTTATCTTCAAAACTTCATATTGAAATTTCTTTCAACTTAAATTAATTTGGTTGAAAAGTTTGTATAGTAAACTAAGTTTGAATTTTAATTAGAATTCTTATTATTTTAGCATATTTGCTCCTCATATGTTCGTATATTGATTTGAAATATTTTTTAAATGAAAATTCCCAACATTTAAAATAAAAGTTTATTTTGAGCAAAAAAATTTTCATTTGTCATTTTAACTTGATTGGGAATTGTATGAGAAGAAGTGCGATTTTTTTGTGAGAGATAATCCTTGTAAAATTTTTTCTCATTATATTGTGATGGAGATCAATTTGTGTTCGGGTTGAAGAAAGTATTAATGATTGAAAACTCGTTACTGAGAAAAAGAAAATACTTATGTCATAGTACATGGTCGTGGGGATAAAAATTTCTAACAAAGTAGTGTAAGGGATTTGTACCTTATGCCACCCGAAAAGAGTGCTGGTTGATAGTGAGCAATGTCGCACTGACACTTCTAAAAATGTTTTGTACCTATATCAAACATTTGCACCTATTTGATCCCAACAATTGTCTGACACTTCAAAATATGTTCTGGGCACGCCTTGACACTGCATTGGGCATGAGCGAAACACGATTTGAGAAAAAACGAGATACCAGAAATAGGAAATTATAATTGAGGTATAATTAGTGGTATCCAGAAGCGGCTTCAACTATTGAGCTGAGTTTGGTATTTGTACTGGTATATTTGCAATGAACTCATTAGTTTCATCCAATATAAGTTGGTTGTTATTAAAACTCATCATGATACGACTCATGGAGGTCAACAATAAAAGGAATGAGAATACAACAATAACAACAAGCCCTTGTCCCACTAAGTGGGGTCAGCTACATGAATCATTTTTCTCTATTGTATCCTATTGAGTGTCATACTTTCATTAATTCTAAAAATTAAGATGATTTTTTGGACCACATGCCCACGACTTTTCAGGTCTACCTCTACCTTAACATAAACTAAATCTAAAACATATACTCTCTTAACCAGATCATCTAATGACTGATGTTTAATGTGACCAAACCATCTAAGACGACTCTGTCTAATCTTGTATGCCACTGGAGCTACACCAACCTTTTCATGGATATATTTGTTTCACCTTTTGTCTCTAAGAGTCAAGCCACTCGAGCACCTAAACATTCTCTTCTCAACAATATTTAACTTAGTTTTATGCTTCTCTTTTATGGGCTAACATATTGCGTCAAAACACATTGTAGGTCTCACCACCATTTTATAAAATTAAAGGAGTTAGATGGTTAATAATAAAAATAATTTATATATTTTGGTAGTTTTATGTTTAATTAAAGAGCTAATTCTTTTGCAATGTATAATATGATAAAAATACAACTAAATGAAGTCAACTTTAAAGGTCTGTTTAGGACAGCTGCAATTTAATAATAAGCTGCTACGCAACAATTACCACAAAAAGCTGTTGCTGATAAATTGGTTTTTTGTTTCTTTTTTTGCAGTTTGAAAACAGCTGCTCTGCAGCTGTTTTTGGACAAATGACCAGTCTGCCCCTATATAGTAACATAACTGTTCATATCAGTATATTTTATAATTTAAAAACAAATATCTAGTGCAAAACATTACAAAACAAAGATAGACACCTCACTAAACTGTGAGTAGCATGACTGCAAAAATTAAAAAATAACTATTAAAACAAAAATTAATAGTATGATAATATTATTTTTGAAATGCAGACGACATATGTCCATAGCTAAACCATCCTTCAGGGATACTTTTCATTTCCGATCACTCTCGACAGTCGAATCTTCTAACTCATCTAACCACATAAAATATTCACAGTTTTCTGTGATTCTCCATTGACACCTATAAAACTCTCCCATAGTGTGGCTGAAGTGGAGTGAACAGGAAACATTGAAGTCCACATTAACAGTGCAATCCTCTGGAGCCACTGAAAATTCTCTATCCCATCTTTCCTGAAGGCTTAAAAAAACATACGCTTAGAAATAGATCAAGTAAAAATTAATAACGAAAGTAATTAATTAAAATTTTATGCAGCTGTGAGGTCTCAGAGAACTCAATATATAAATTAATAAATTTGTCACTATAAAAAAACAACAACCTTTATAAAAAATGGTTCTTGGTTGTTTTTAACAAGTAATACCAAGTTAGTGTATGTCGCATACATATATCACAAAAAAGGCCATAAAAGACCTCAAAAACCGTAGCACCGAAAAAAAGAGAAACTTGGCTGCCTTCGCTAAGATTTCACATGCGACATCAACCAATAGCGACATACAGGCCAATCAGAAGAACCCATAAGGTCAAACGTCTCATCATAGACCTTCAAAACTCATCAAAAGTAAAAAGAGAAATGCAAAAGGAAAAAACACCACACCAACACTTCCACCATCACCCATGACCAACACATCCACCAACACATACACATCCGCACACTAGTAACCCTACACCACCACCTCCACTTCTATCTCCACTTCCATGCAAGAACCACCCTTCACCACCACCTCCTTATCCTTAAACACAAACACATCCAGCCTCACATCCACCACATCAACGCCATAAGCTAACTTCAACCAAATGTGTAGCGACTGAGCAAAAGTAAAACCATAATCCACCATTGCACGTGCATTCAAAACCAACACATATTACACCATAATTCAAAAACATAAAGGAGTAATCATAAGCATTTGCCAAATCGAAAATCCAAAAAATCCAAGCCATTTGTCGGCTGAGATTTTCAAAAAAATGAAAATGGATTTGAATTTACGTATATATAGAAATCAATGTAATTTTGATTTTAAAAAAATAGTATTTTGATTTTTAAATAAATGAGACCAAATAGGTCTCACATATTTGATAGTTTGGATGACTGAACGCAATACCAAGTAATAGGGTAAAGAAACCACCGCACAAAGATTGCCCAACACGAAGAAGAACAATCACACATTTAAACCTCTGCAAAGAGGAAGCCACTAAAATATCGTATACATACAAATTTCCAAAATCAAAGACAATAATATAGTTAAGGTAGGGATTACCCAACACGAAGAGGAATAATCACACATAGAAACCACAATACAGAGGAACCACCGCACAGAGCATCACATGAAGAAACAATACCTCACACGGGTCAAAAGATCCAAACAGAGCCTCAAAGGAGATAGAGGAAAGCGAGAAGAGAACTCACCGAGAGAGGCACAACACCAACCGCGAGAATTGGGTCGCTAGGGCAAACCGCGAGAGAGAGGATCAAAGGAGAGGAGAAGCGGCTAGGGCAAGAAATGTGAGAGAAATGATTGCGGGAGAGGAGGGGCAGCCACGTCAACACTATACGAACGAACGCGGGCCGTGGGGTCGAACCCGCGACCGTGTTTCGTTCGAATTTTTCATAAAATCCGTCATGTTGTCGAAACCAAAAAGGAGGCGCCACATTTTTTGGCACGCCGCCGTAAAATCGCTTATGGGGCCTTAAAGTCTAATTGGATAAATCATGAGTTAATGTAAGTGATAAACTTAATAATTTATAACTAATTATTTAATTTTAATATGACTAGTTATGCATTTTGATTTTCAACTATATTGAGTAAAATATGAAAAATGATATGTGATGAATTATAATTGTGAGCAATCATTTATTTGTTATTTTAACAAGATTAATACATCAATTTATCCATCTCAATAGTTCTTCTGATCCAATAAGCTGGTTGAGATGATTATCTTGATTAATTGAGTTGATTTTGATGTTTGTCCTGAAATCTTTGCAATAAACTCATTAAGTCCTATTCACACATATGTTGGTTATCATAAAACCCATTATGTTATCTCTCATGGGGTCAACAACATTGAGTATCACGAACCTTTTGAAGTTGCTAGGGGAAGGTGTAATTCTATATTTACCGGTGTAACTAATGCCTACATGCTGATGTGAAACTAATGCCTACATGCTGATGTGAAATTCTCAAAACTCTATCGAAGTTAATCTTGCGTATATGAAAGCGTTTGGCCCCTATTTTTGAAGTTTATGATATTTGTGAAGAGCCAAGCTTTTGAGTACCCATGCAACTTTTATTGTATACTTTTGACAGTATGTTTGCACCCTTCAATGTTAGGCGAACCTGAGGGTTGCTGCTGTCTTCTGCATGCAGTTCCTCGCCCTCGCCCTCGCCCTCGCCCTCGCCCTCGTCCTTGTCCTCGTCCTTATTAATGCTTTAGAGACTGTTTTGCGGATGGGAGCACTCCAAACAGTGCTGCCATACTAAATGAAATCTTGGTTCATCAAAACCTCAGAACTATATGAGCATAAAATTGATCATCTTAAGGTGGACTGCTATTTATTGCAAGTTAATTCAGTATACAGTCAACCTGCACTGATCATGAAGCAGATGCATGTCTATATGGAAAAAATGCTGATGCAGCTTTAGACCCATTGAGAGTATTCTGAGACCAAACAATTCTATTTCTATTGGTCTGCTATGACATTTTCTTGTGTATGTTCTTAATTTTTTTTTTAATCATTAAGTATGATGAAGTTCTGTCTAACGTGTGGCAGGCTTAATTTCTATATATTTCCTCGAAAAGAGCCGTCAGGTGAAGGACCGACTAATGAATTTCTTTGCCAGACGACTTCAATGAGTTTTCTAGCCAAATACCAGTTTGATTTCAATGCTTGCGTGCATGAAGGTATGTAATGTTGCAGTTATTATTTGTTAATGTTTGTTGTATTTAAATAACTGAAATCGCCTGGCAAACAGATTTATTCTCCATAGTTATGATATTTTTTTACTCTTTTAATTACTTTTTGAGAAGTTTTGATTCCTGACATGATCAAATAACTAGAAAGCACCTTGGCAGTTTAAATAGTGCTATCCCTGCTACTGTTTAGGGTTTATTGGTTCGTGTAAGTGGAAGAAGCCACACTTTTGAGTACGGCTATATGAGTATCATGAGTGACTTCCAACCGGTGAGAGGAGAAGTTTTGATGGTTAAAGTTCGTAAATATATCACTTCCCATCACTTCCTTGACTGAAGTGACTGACCTCTTAGGATGCCTCTTACATAAAGCTGAGCAAATCCTTTGGGCCGTTTAGGATCACTTTTATTTTTTGTTTTTCATTATTTATTTTTTATTTTAGTTTTTGATTTAATTTAAAATATATTTGATTGAGATATATTTTTAAGAACACTCAAAAATCTAAGATGTTTAGATGTTTCAAGTGTATTTAAAAAGTTTTTGAAAACAAAATATAAAAAAATTATAAAAATTATTCTGACCAAATATGTTTTAAGAAAATGAAAATGATGTCAAATAGGCCCTTAAGTAGCCATGTTTGTGTATGGTACAATATTATTGTCACTCTTTACTAGCAATACCACAACATTGTGCTCGACTGTTTGTGTATTTGGGTAATTTCAGGAATATCTTATCTATCCAAAGCACAAGAAGCAGAGGCTCTACAGAAGCTTTGTTCGGGTTATGAGAATGGTTTGCTTAATCTCTCTGGCAATTTTGAAGAATCTGCTGAAATACCTGCAGTGCGAACTGCAGATGTTCTTTTTACAGAAAGGATGAAGATTAGGTTTTGTGAATGGCGTGAGAATGTGTTAAAATACCCAGAAGATCCCATTTTAGAAGGGAACCATTGTAGCTTTAATATGGATTTTCAGATGGTTTTCTTTAAGATGCGCCCAGCTATTATGCTGAATGGATTTACCTCCCACCGGCTAAGGCTGATTCAACTGGTATGATACTTTATATGAATTTCAATGCTAGGAAATGCTTTTCACACGAATTGTAAGCTTTTTTTTTGTCTCATGCCATCACTTTTTCTTAATAACCTGCTTTCTTCCCATTGGCATGATCCCTCCAGCGAAATGGTTTCATTCTACAAATACTTGTCATTATTTAATATATAATCTCTAAAATAAGTAATGTTAGAAATTATACTAGGAAATAATTTATTCCTATTAAAAGTTATGAGAATGAGATTTATTTCCTTGGATTGGATTTATTTCCTCTCCTATTTAGATTTATTTCCATGAATTAGATGTATTATCCTTCCTATTTTTGGTTTTTTTCTATTTTATGTTGTTTTCTTTATCTCCAAATAATTTTTATGAATGAATTAATTGAAGATATGAGTGTTATGTCTTTACTTTTATGCTCTTACTGGACATTTACAGGAGGATGTATCTTTGTGTATGCTTTTTGTTGATGATATCCTTCTCGTGGATAAGATTAGAGAAAAAACTCACGAAAAATTTGAATTATGGAGGTCTACGTTGGAGCCTAAAGGCCTTCGTTTGAGTAGAACTAAAACTGAATACATGAAATGTAAGTTTAGTAGTAATAGTGCTAGTGACAGAGTTGTAACTATGGGTGATCAAATTTTTAAAAGGTGTGAACACTTTAGGTATCTCGTGTTTGTTCAAAGTGATGGTCATATAGAGATGGGGATGTTATTAGTAGAGTTCAGGTTGGCTGATTGAATTGGAGGAATGTTTTTGGGCCTATTGTGTGATAGAAAAGTACCGCTTAGACTGAAAGGAAAATTTTATAAGGTGGTGGTGAGACCTGCTATGTTTTATGGCGCTTAATGTTGTCCTTTAAAAGAGAAGCATAAAACTAAGTCAAGTGTTGTCGAGATGAGAATGCTTAGGTGGATGAGTAGCTTTACACTTAGAGAAAAAATACGAAATGAATGTATCCATGATAGGGTTGGTGTAGTTCCAGTGGTAGACAAAATTAGAGAGAGTCGTCTTAGATGGTTTGGTCACATCAAACGTCAATCATCTAATGATTCGATTAGGAACGATTAGGAGAGTTTTGATGTTTTAGATTCAACTTATATTAAGAAAGGTAGAGATAGACCTAGAAAGACTTGGGCATATTGTAAAAAAAATGATTTTAATTTATTATAATTAAATGAAAATATGACACTCAATAGGATACGATGGAGAATAAATGATTCATGTAGCCGACCCCAATTAGTGGGATAAAGGTTTATTGTTATTGTCTTTTCTATTCTAGGATTCATGTTGTGGTATCTATACCCCCTTTTCATATCAATAAAATAATTTTGGTGAATTCTTAAAATCAACATGGCATCAGAGTCTTGAAACAAACTGTGGAGTCTCTTACCGCCCCCTTTTCATATCAATAAAATAATTTTGCTAAGTTCTGAAATTTAACATGGTATCAAAGTCTTGAAACAAACTCTGGAGTCTATTACCACTGGAAATTCCTGCAATCTACAATCTTTGCTATATTGTAGACGCTTCTTCCGCCTCCTCCTTTCAAATTTTCCGCCATAAACTTCCTCTCTTTGCAGGCCTTAGCCACCGAAACTCTTTCCTGCAGGAACTAGCCGCCGGAACCCTTTCCCTGAAAGCCCTAGACGCTAGAAACTTCCTTCTTTCCCTGTAGTTTTTTTTCCGCCGACGGTCTCGTTTCTTCCCTGCAGATTTCAACTGGTGCTCCTTCCCTGGTAATTTTATTTTGTGTTCTCCTTCCCAGTCACTAGTAACCCTTCCTACAGACTTAGCCACCACTGGTCTCCCTTGCGGGCTGTTCCACTGTCGGTAACCCCTCTTGCAGGCCTTGAACTCTTTGAGATCAAACCCTACCTTTCTCCTACGAGAGAACCTTGACCTTCGATTCAGTCTTAAGGTTCCTGATTTGTTACCAGCGCATAACTTTTTGTCCTGTAATGTGCTTTGTAAGGCTTAATCTCTTTGCCCAATTTATGCTTCTTGTTTTTTCCATGAAGGTGCCTTCCCTCTCTCAGGAGATTGTTGGCATAATTCTTTTTTGGACAAGGTATCCTTATCTCGTTTCTTTTCTCTTAAAATGGGGAGAAAGCTTCATGTTTGTGATTGTGGGCTATGTTATAAGTGGGATTCAACATGTTCAGTTTTGTTTAAACCATTTCTCCTCCACTATCTACATCGGAAATTCAAAGGGCAACGACTGGTTTGAGAAGCAAACTATGGGGATGCTTAACATCACTTATTCGTCATGGATAGACTGGTTTTATGGTGGACTGCAGTTCCAGGCATCCTTGGCTTCCAAGATGCCATCTCAGGAGAATTGCTCTTTCGATGGAGCTTTGTAAGAAGCATAAGTTGTAGAGAAAAATCCTGCAAGACTCTTCCTTCTTGTAAGTTCTTCACGAAGCTCTGTAAGAAACATAAGCTGCAGAAAACTCAGTGGCAAATCCCTTTTCACCAGATTCTCCCTGCAGACTTCTTCGTCGGAACTCTCCTATCCAACAGCAGCGACAGAAGTTTCTCTCCCTGTAGTTGCAGGTCTTTCCACTGTTGTTGGAACCCTTGTAGAGATCACAATAAGTTTTAGGCATCAGATGTCGTGCCCTCAAATGCTTTTATGGTACAATGGAAGTTCTTGCGTATGCGAGCCGAGATACGACCGACAGCTTAATAGGAGATGTTTTTGTTCTCTGGCGGCGGCAACAACTGGATCACTAGCTCAAGCTCTGACTCTTCTTCCACCGTCTTAGGTATGGAGCTTCCCTTGGAGAACTTTCGATGCTTTGCCTAGTCTCAGGTTGTGCTGTTCGAGGTCACGTTGGTGCTCCTTCTATGGCTTCTTTTCTGCGCCCTAATTCGCTTCGCCTACTCCGTAGTTGTCGTCATTCTGCCTGGTTTCTGTTTTATCTTCTGACATTGATTGTGACGGTTTTTAAGCTGCTCTTCGCAAAGTTTTGAATCTTCTTCGGCATGGAATCCCAACAACCGATCGACACACTTTGAAACTTTTTCTTGCATGAGGCCCTCCAGAATCTTTCTTACGACAGACCCTTCTTCGGAGCTTTTACCTTTTTTTTTTGCAGGCCATATCCTGCAGCTTTTTAAGTTGGTTGTCTACTTTCCTGCTCGTTGCAATATTACCTGTAGGAGCCTTCTACTTATCTACAGACACTGAAGAAACTGCAGTCAAAGATAACCGTGGTTAACTAGAAGTTAGTTTTTCCTGTAGGTTGTCTATTTCCCTGCAACATTATCTGCAGAAACCTTCCACCTGCAGAAACTACAGTCAAAGACAATCGCAACCAACTAAAAATATCCCTAAATGCTTTTGGTGTTGATTATCAAGTATGCGTGAAGAATCTTCTTCGACTATTATTTGATATTTTCAAATTCAAGTTGAACATGGTTGTCAACCATGCTTCAACTGACAATTTTGTTTCAACTCGAGGATGAATGCTAGAAGTCATGTTATGAAATAATTTATTCCTTTTAGAAGTTATGAGGATTATATTTATTTCCTTGGATTAGAGTTATTTTCTTTCTTATTTTAGGATTTCCTATTTTATGTTGTTTCCTTTATCTCCAAGTAATTATTATAAATTGATTAATTGAATATCTAGGTTTTATATCTTTCTTTTTATGTTATTTTTGTTTTTTTGTCTTTCTTTTTCTAAGATTCATGTAGGGGTATTTAGACCCCTTTTTTTGATATCAATGAAATAATTCTTTTGGATTCTGAAAATCAACAAATAATTGCATTATTTGTCATCTTGAGACATTTGATTGTCACCTACACAAGCAGTTTTTTATGAGGCACCTCTTTACAGTTTTGCCTTATTATAGCATTCATTGTTCTGATGACAATTCATCTTTAATATGATTGTTTGTTTCTTGCTATATTTATATTCTATCGTTGTTTTATTATCTGATAATCGTATCTGTATATTGATTTGCCTCATGATAATATTTATTTAGAACTTTATCCTTCTTGCAACCTGAGAAACCCTAAAACTGACGCATGGGGTGAAATGTCAGCAGTTTTTTTTTTTTTTTCATCTGCATTACCTGCAACTTGAAACTACTCTTTATTATTTTGCATCTTTTGTTATGATTAAAGAAATAACGAAGGAAAATTAATTCTGGACCAAAAAATTGTTTAAACATAATTTCTGGCAGTTGTCTGTGCTTGTTTATTCAAAATTGTAGTAGATAATTTACGTCCATGTAACAGCAAATAATCTGGAAGAAGAAATATTTGTAAATTTATTTTGGTGGTTTAAATTGAGTTTTGTTCTCTAGGAATATTTGAGCTGTATATGCTGCAGGTATAATGAACTTTAGATGAAATTTTTTCAATTGGAGTCAAGTTTTCATCTTTTTTTAAAGGTTCTAGGCTACCACCCGTTCGGTTACCTTTAACCATAACCCTTATGACACTTTGCATAGTCAAATTGTCCAATTTTTTTATTCCTGTGTGTAAAAGGCCACATGTTAATAATTTCATTTTATATTGTGCTCTATTAATTATTTTTAGAATTCTATTTTTGATGACCGGAATTTTGTATTTCTTAATTTCAACCTACAGATAAATAGTTGTTACCATGCAGGTATTAAGAAAACACTTCAAGGACCTTCTGTATTTATGTGTAAGTGGTGAAAATTGTTCTTCGCAGAAGCTAGTAGTTTTCACCGACTCTGAGGTGGATAGGGCATCTCTTATGGTACGAAATTGAAAATGAAAGGTGAAGTTTGTTATTATACTCAAATTATTAGCGTTTTTACTATTTTTTATCGATATTATTAATAAAGAACTAACGCAACTTTTCATGTTTCTTTTATACTAATGTTTATCTAAGTTGTTTGCTCTTTTTTAAAAAGGATTTAGTTTTTGTTTTTTCTCTTGGAAAGTGAGTTATATTTGCCTATCTTAAAAGGAACAGATATTTGTAGCATTGTATGGCTGCCAAATTTTTTGGAGGTTAAAAAAAAAAGAGGAGCATTTACATACATACAACCCAATTCTTCTGTATTTTCATGTCTAACGCCTGATCTCTACTTTTTACATCTATATCAACCAAATCTTTCACATAAAATAAAAATACGACTATTTTTACTTTTAAAAGGTGAAATACACCTTTTCACGATTATTTAAGGTGACATGTATGTAAAAATTGAAGGTTAGGTGTTAAAGATGTAAATACATAAGAAATGAGTTGTATGCATGTAAATCTTCCAAAAAAAAAACGCACTTTATGTACCTATAAATTTAACCTTATATACAAATTATGCATTGTTTTTGGAATTGATCCATTTATTAACATAGTTTAAAAAGGCATCTGAAGATAGTATTTGATTATTATTTGAGCATGCCTCCCCAAGATGCACGTAGTAAGTAGTGCCTCAAGGGCTTGCAAGTTTCTGCCTTAGGCAAGGCTTTAGCTTTTTTCTTTTAAGTAATGCGGCATGTGTTTCCAGGTTATATGCTCAATTCCATTTGAGTCAAATTCCTCAACCAAACATATGCAATAAAATAGCACTTTTAAACTATATATACGGGGATTCAAGTTTTTTAGGTATTGAGTTTATATGTTCTGAAGATAGAAGGTTGTCGTTTGAGAGGAGAATGAGTGTCTGCAAGTGGTGCTACGTGCAAGCAGGCGTGCAAGGGGGAGTTGCATGCTAGTTAGCGATCTCAGTGTTGTGGGGAGCTAGCGTCTGCAAGCAGGTTTGGCATCAAGTTATGGGCGGGGTTTTTTTTTTATCTTTCTTTTTTAACTGTTTTTTTGTAATCTTTTCTTTACTTTTAATTAGCTAAGTTCTTAAACTTCTTAAATTTTCTTTCGACTATTTTTTAAAGAAATATTTTGTTTTCATTGTTTTTAATCTGATTTTAATAAGTTCTCTTTTAAATATTTTTTGTTCATTCTCTCTTTAAACAATTTTTATCACATTTTAAATTGGGTTTCCTTCTTTTATTTGTCCTCTTAGGGTACACGTTTTTTATTTTTTATTTATTTGTTGATGATTTATAATATAGTTTTAAATTGTATTTAATTCTTTTTTTAGACACAGATTTATTCCCAATAGTTTCTAAATTTACCCTTTAAAACCTACTCGATTAATATTTCATGCTGCAAACAGCTTGACAATTATGTTCAGTTAAGTTACTTTGTTTGAAGGGTTTGTGTCTTTATTTGTTGATTAGAATATTTTGTTGCACGCAACATATGCTGATGCCTTTTAAACAACTGACATATAGCGTTTCTCTATGCGTTATAACACCTGAAGGAAAATTACTTTTACTGCTATTTTAATGATTAGTTGAGGATGATGTTTTCATTCATGGCTTTGCAGTAAATCTGCTGTTTTTCCTTATCATTTCTTCAGCGAGAGGTCAAAGAAGATAAACTCAGAAGTGGAAAAGTAAGGATTCGATCAGCAGTGGGTTTCAGGCATGTCATCGATCTACTTTCCTCTGAAGAAAAGCTCATCGTTGGACACAACTGTTTTCTAGGCAAGTTTCCTTACTTTGAGTAACATTTTCTTATATGTTTATGATAGCTTCCACTGCCAATCCTTCTACACTGTACAGATATTGCCCATATATATTCAAAATTTATTGGTCCGCTTCCTTCATCAGTGGATGAATTTGCATTATCAGTCAACAAGGTACTTCCTCACATTATTGACACCAAGCACCTCATAAGTTGTAGCCCTGTAATTCAGCTTTTGATGAAGAAGAAAAAGAAATCATTGTCATCTGCCTTCTCTCTTTTGTGCCCACAATTTTCTTCTTCGTCCCAGAATTCTTTTGGTCGTTCATTTGTTAAAATTGACGTTCAATCTGATGAACTGGGGTAATATTCCTATCTTCTCATTGCTTTGCTATGTTCTATGGCTGTTTTCCAGTATAATTTCTTGCTATTGTTCTGTACCCTGAAACACACAAACCAACACATGTAATGTGATGCATTTATTCTTCTACCTTTAGATATAAATTTTAGGTATCGGGATGTTCTTGATATTTTGCAGAACCACAACAATGTGTTTAACAAGTTACACTTCCCATGCATTTGGAATCTTTGCATTTATGAGCTTCATTTGTAAAATTTTTTGGCTTGTTTTGCTTTTTTTGTCCATGCATCAAAGCTTTAGAGTCTTTAGTTTTTGTTAGGCTCTAATTTTCTCAATGTGTAGTCTCTTTTTTTTTTTATTAAATAGAAACATAGCCTCTACATCAATGGAGTTCGGTTAGTACGATAAATGCAGCTTTATTTTCTACTTTGTTTTGTTAATATTCCTCCGTTGTTTGCAGTAAGATTTTTTTTAAGAACATCTAGTTTAGATGTGGGCAAATTTATAACAGGGTCCACAAGATATGTCTAAGGTCACAATTGTCTACCCTAAAGCTCAGAGGATAGAATGTTGATGCGAACAAAATTTGAGACTAGTTTTCAGTCTTTTATTATGGAAATTTTGGGTAACTTTGTTAGGTACGTGCATGGTGCAGTACAAACTACAATATTTTTTTTGGCTTGTTTGACTAAACTACCAATTTCGTTATTTGAAGTTAGAAGTGTCGGAGATGAGAATGCTCAGATGGATGAGTGGCTTTACACTTAAGAGACAAAATGCGAAATGAATATATCCATGATAGGGTTGATGTAGCTCCAATGACGGACAAAATTAGAGTCTTTTTAGATGGCTTGGTCACATTAAACATCGACCATCTGATGATCCGGTTAGGAGAGTAGATGTTTTAAATTCGACTTATGTTAAGAAAGGCAGAAGTAAGCCTAGAAAGACTTAGAGTCTAAAAAGACTTGAGTATATTGTTTAAAAAATAATCTTAATCGATTAGAATTATATGAAAATATGACAATAGGATGCAATGGAGAAAAAAGATTCATGCAGCCTACCCTCGGATAAAGGCTTGTTGTTGTTGTTGTTATTGAAGTGAAAAGTGTCAAAATGGTTCCTTAACTCATTGTAGTGTGGCTATTTTACTCAAAGAGTCTATAAAAGTGGCAATTTAGTCTCAGACAATTTTAATGAAGAGTAAAATAGTCATACCTAAGGATTATTTTAGACCTTATTAAAAGAGTATAGACAAATTTGATATTTTTATAGACTCCGGGACTACAATGGCTTAATGTAAATAGTAAGTAGACTTTTGAGACTTTACTCTTTAAATTAGTTTACCTTTTATAGGTAAGGCCCAGTTTTTTACTTTCCAGTAGGAAATTTCAACTAGCTTTGTGTAACTAAACTCGCTTTACACAGATTTTCTTCCTGTAACTCAGCTTCAAAGCATGAAGCTGGCTTTGATGCTTTTATGACCGGATGCGTCTTTGCTCAAGCTTGCAGTCATTTAGGGATCAAATTTGAACAAGGCACCATCATAAATCTTGTAGAAAATAATATTCTGAAGAGCTACATCAATATCTTATACCCCAGCTGGAACAGTGGAACAGTAATCAACCTAAGAACAGGCGCAGAGAGTCCAGTTTCGTGTTACAAGCGCAAATATCCCAATATAAATTTTACAAGCATTGCCATTATCTGGGGTTTCTCATCCATGCTTAAGCCAAAAGATTTGGAGGAATGTTTATGCAGAGTTTTTGGCACAGCTTCAGTGATCTATGTCTTTTTTCTTGATAGAACTGCAGCTCTTATTCAGTTTAACAAATCAGAGCTGGTGAATGATTTCTTGGTTTTAAAGGATATGTTGGAGAAAGACGATGGCCCGATACCGGTTTTGCATCCGCTTGTGAATCTACTAGCTGGCGGCAACACTCGTGCCGCTGATTACAATACTTATAGGGACATTTGTAGCTCGTCAGCTTCTAAGATTTTGTTTGCTGAACAGGCAGAAACGATTGGGATCAGATGGAAGACTAAGATTAGGCATGCTTGCGAGGAGACGGTTGAGTTAAACGGCATCAAAGATTCAGCATCGAAAGAGCGAAGTAATGATAATGATTCAAAGGTGCAAAGTCTTCAGTTTTCTTTTGAAGAGATGATGAATTCTTTATAAGCTAGCTAGCTGTATGGAAAGAGATGTTAATGATCATATCTGCAAAAGGTATCGAACGAGGGTGGGAGTTTTTCCTCCAGGTATTGTTGTGTAATTATTTTTTCATATTTATGATGGATTTTTAAAGAAATTTTAGCCTTTTCTTTGAAATTTTAGTTAATATTAAGCATAAGCCTTGTAGTTTTGAAGGAATTGGAAGAGGAAATAAAAATATGAATGAGGTAGGAATTGCACGACAGTAGTTTTCACCCAGTTGTTTATCTCAAGAGAAATTGTGTCTTTTTATTTACTTGGGAGGATTTGTGTTCATGAGCATCTCAATTTACATACCTGGCACCTAAAGCTCATTTAACCCTTAAAGTTGCCGCTATTATTTCTTGTCTGTATCCCATAAGGTTGTGCGTTATTTGTTCATAACCAAAAAATTCAAATCGATCCAATTTTTTTTGGATGATTTGGTTCTCAAATTTGCGGTTCGAATATTGATTTTGATTAGTGAAATATTTGATTTTAGGCTTTTGGGTCAGTGAATCAAAATTTTGGATTAAACAGTAAAAAATGATTTAGTAGTAATAATTATTACTCATTTTGCAATTTGTATTTTTGGTTTTGCTTCATCATCTTTATTCGAATTTAATGAAAGCAATTAATTATTTTTCTAATCATGTATCTTTAATTATGCTTATTGCTTATCAATTAAATGTAGCTAATTTCCGAACTGACGAAACAAATTATTTTGGGATTTGGTTTGGTTCGCCGATTTTTGTCCAAATTTTTGGATATCCAAAATAAATTAATTTTGGAATTTTATCATCCAAATTATATAAACCCATCAAATGCATTAACCTTTATCTCCCATGAAACCGGCATGCAAAATCGTCCAATCAGACTTATTATTGGACGGCTTCTCCGGCGTGCATCCTGGTCCCTGAAGCATACACCAACAACTCACTACCAGATTCTACTGGATGCTGATGTGCAGCTTGGGAATTGGCTGGGTTTTTACTTTCTTTTTCTTTCTTTTTCTTCCTCTTCATCTGTAGAGACATGAGAATTGAGTGAATCCTTTATTATTCTTCGCTGTCACATACTCGTATCATACATGGAGGCATGACTGCAAAATCTTGCTCGCAGTCTGTCGCTTCTTTCACCTCTGTTTTAAATGGTATTTTACATGCATACCACACAATTCCTATGAATTTACATTTCTAACGCATAAGCTTTACTTTTTTACATTCAATGCTCCAAAATCCTTCATATCACATCAACAGTGCTACCATTTTCACTTTTAAAAAGTGAAATACACCTTTTCATGCATGGGCAAGTGGAATATTTGTAAAATTTGAAGTTTAGGTTTTAGATATGTAACTGCATAAGAATTGGGTGGTGTGTATGTAAATTTTTCCTTTTTAAAATAGCATTCTAGTAACTGAAATGCTTGATTTCTTGTATGCAATATTTTTGAATCAGAAGATTAGCTGATGCCTTCTTTGATGTGCAAGGAATTAGTGGACCATGAATATTTGATATGATTTCTGGTGCAAAAATTTTCAACTTAATTTGGAAGAAAATTATATGCGTATGTTGGCCATGAAAATTTCCAATCACACTGATTATTGGACGGCTGAGGAAAGTTATGACCCTATTGTGAGATGGGAGGAAGGCCAAGAAGCCATCCTCACACATCAAGAATAGAGTAGAAGCCATTTTATGTTTTGTTTTTTTGTCGATGCATACTTCTACAATATTGATTGATTTTTGGTCTTGTTTTTTCAATACATTAGGAAATGTATGTGGTCAACCATTTTTGCAAGGAAGTTGGGATAAATATTATCATTAATTTAACAATGCAATAAGTTATTAGATTCATGCTTATAGTATACATATCTTTAATGACTTGAATATAATTCATATCAACACTTTCTTCTTAGAACTTTCCAAAGAACTTCTCTTGGATCTTAAGTTTTTTTCTAAATCAATAAAAATCACATATAGATCCTCATTACTCTCTCTGTACTTCTCCATCAACCCTCTCAATAATCTATAGTTTCTATAGTATATTTGTCTGACATAAATCCAAATTGATTATTTGAAATTGTTGTATCTTATCTTAACCTTTGTTCAGTTACGCTCTCCCATAATTTTAATGTATGACACATTACTTTAATTATTCTATAATTTGCACTCTTGTGCATCCCCTTTATTCTTTAAAGTGAGGACTAAAATACTCTTGTTCCACTCCTGAAGTATCTTTTTAGTTTTTGAAATAATAATAGGGATTTTAGTAAGCCAAAAAAGCTTTCAAATTTCTTAAATATTTCCACACTTCAATTGTGATATCATTCTTATTGATTTTCCACCCTTAGTTTTATTTAAACCTCGACATCTTTTTACAAATGCAAAGATAAAAATATATTTTTTTTTTATTCTTAACAATATTAAGATTATTGAGGTCGGTTGTATTTTCAGAAATTTTATTAAGAAGTTTATCAAAATAGCTTACTTGAATATAATTCATATCAACACTTTCTTCTTAGAATTTTCCAAAGAACTTCTCTTGGATAGTAAGTTTTTTTCTAAATCAATAAAAATCAAATATAGATCCTCATTACTCTCGTTGTACTTCTCCATCAACCCTCTCAATAATGTATAGTTTCTATAGTATACTTGTCCGACATAAATCCAAATTGATTATTAGAAATTATTGTATTTTGTCTTAACCTTTGTTCAGTTACTCTCTCTCATAATTTTAATGTATGACACATTACTTTAATTATTCTATAATTTGCACTCTTGTGCATCCCCTTTATTCTTCAAAGTGAGGTCTAAAATACTCTTGTTCCACTCCTGAAGCATCTTTTTAGTTTTTAAAATAATAATAGAGATTTTAGTAAGCCAAAAAAGCTTTCAAATTTCTTAGATATTTCCACACTTCAATTGTGATATCATTCTTATTGATTTTCCACTCTTAGTTTTATTTAAACCTCGACTTCTTTTTACTAATGCAAAGATAAAAATATTTTTTTTTTATTATTCTTAACAATATTAAGATCATTGAGGCTGGTTGTATTTTCAGAAATTTTATTAAGAAATTTATCAAAATAGCTTATCCACCTACGTTAAATATCTTTATCTAAGAAAATCACTTTTTGATTTTCATCTTTAATGCAGTTTACTTGAATTAAAATTTTACTTTTATTTTTTCTTTGTTTGGTTAAATTTCTTATAATTTATCTTTTCATGCACATTATTAATCCACCATCAATTATTTTTATTTAGAAAATTTTTTCTTTTTGATATTCCAAATCCATCTTTTGTCACTTGTGTAATAGCATTTGTTACTTTATCTCACATAGAATTAGTTTCTTCATGAACATCCCCGATCTTAAAATCTTAAATAATTTTTTTTTGTGTCTTTTAAGTGCTTCAATCTAATTCAATGATATCATTGTATTTTTAATGTTCAAACTTTTTTATCTTAAAGGTTGAGTATTTAAATTTTCACTCAGAATGACTTTATAATCTTCGCATTCTCTACGATCTCAGTTTCTCATAAGAAAATAATAAATTTGTATTTTATTTGATCCATTCTTCTAAGTAATAATATGTTCATCTCTTTTCTTAAATAACTTGCAATAATAAAATCATAAATTAAAACAAAAAAGGTTTTACCTTCTTCATTAATCACTTCAAAACCATAACCACTTTTAATACTTCTAAAATCTTGTACCACTCTACCAACATGTTCTTTTAAATCGTTTCCAATAAAAATTATTTCTTTTAGATGTATCATTTGTATTACTTCTATATCATTCTAAATTTTTTTTTTTTGAACATATATCTAAATCTACTTGAGGAGCTATAAACACTTATAACATTAAAAAATTTAGTATTAACAGTCTTTAGGGTTATAATTCTATCTTCAGTTTTATTAAGTTTTACAACATTATCTTTCAAAGTTTTTATATAATTACACCTACACCATTTCTAATGTGACTCCTGCTAGAATACTAAAATTTAAAACCTAAGCTATCAGTTTCCTTAGCATTTTCTCCAACCGAATTTAGTTTCTTGAATGCATAAGATATTTTTCTTTCTATGAACCATAATATTTACTAATTTTATTAATTTACTTGTGAGATTTCAAGATCATATCCTAATATTAGGTTTACGAACTAACTGCTTTACCTGCATCCGTTCATTATGCGGAAATCTATTTATTTATTTATGAACACTTGCTTACTTAACACTACATGCGAGCACCGGTGTAGCAGCCCCTACACACTTTTCACTGTATTTCACTGTATTCAAGAATACATTATGTCATTTCTAGATGATGCTATAGCATTTACACCATAATTTAAAAGATTCATGTCATGATTTCTGTCGATAAAAATATTACGTTGGTTTGTCAACTAACTAACACAACCGTCCATTTTTTACATATTGGGCTTGCGACCAAACAATGTCAGTGACACTATATAAATTATACGAAGTAAAATAAATAAATTTTGGAAGAGTTTTTGGCATAAATTGCTTTGCTTAAATTTTCAATATAATCACTTGGGTATATTGTAGGCTCCAAAGAGACTTATAAACATATTAATATACGTGAGGAGTTGGAGGCTCACACTCAAAATCCAAACGTGTGCTGGTATGCTTAGAACTCTTTCTTTCTATACTACTTACATGCAATTTTCTTGAAGTAGTTACATAAAAAATTATTTGTAGCAAATTATTTGGTAAACATATTTGTAACTTGATTATATGTCTTCATGTAGATAAGCTTCACTTTTTCTTTTACATGCATTCTTATGTATGAAAATATATCAAATGTTATAGTGACCATTTATAATGGAAAGGATTTTGGTAAATGTGATTTTTGATTTGTTATCAATGTTGATTGTTGTGTTTTCAAGGTAAGAATGAGGCATATGCTTGGGTAATATCCTTAACCAAATTGATTGGTATGCATATGATGATGTCACAATATACTATGCCTATTAAGTAGACAAAATAATAACTAATTTCTTTTTAGAGATCCATGTGAATATTGTATTGCCCAAGTTAGAAAAAAGGCCTTGAATATAAGAAAGAATCATCTTATCATCATTTAAATGCATGCCTTTTGGCTCTTCATATATTAAGCTAACTAGTCTAACCGTAAGCAATATTCGATCATGTGCATGGAAAGCACCTTAATAAAGTTTTCTGGTCGAACTTTTTTAAAGAATATGATCTAAGTTTCACTCAATTATAGATAGATTTACTCCACAATCAATGTGGATGATGATTGGATTGCAATCATCTAGTTTGAATTTTAAAGAACTTCACTTGTATAAGTCTCTTTTGACACATGCAT